ATTCTCATCAGTAACATGATAGTAGGTAAGGGGCAGAAAGGGAGAAAAATGTGGAACACATACACAATCCTTATTAAAAACAGGCCAGCCTACTGAATGAACAAAGAAACTAGAGAACACTTGGACTATCCTACTTGGAATCCACTTTGACTGGTCACTGTGGAAAATGATGTGGATGTGGCTAGTAACCTTCTCTGACTTCACACACAGGAAGGAAAGGAATAACCCTTATCAGGGTCAGCTGGCCAAGGCTAATTCCTATGGGGCTGAGAATCAGATGTGGGACAAGTTCTACTCTCCAATCTTCCTCACCAGTTCTGACACCCAGCCGTCCCTCCCGTACATGCTCATGCTCTACTTCTCAGCTGGGTATAATAATTCATTGCAATGGCAGCACGGAACTTGCAGATGATGTTCACAATTATAGGCTTCATTGGAAAAGTTACGTGGTCAATGCTTGGGAGACAGTTGTTGAGTTAGGATTGTTTATTCTTTGCCGTGCCTGCAGCCAGGCCTCAGCATCTTGCCCTTTAAACTGCTTGGGCATTTTACAAAATGCTTTTAGGGTCCAAAGGGCATGCCACTCCAACATTAGCCTCAACCCCGAGACACTCTGTTCCAGTTCCATGAATCAGCAAACCCAGTTCCCCCAATTAAATGTTCAGAAGCATCCCACTCTCCAAGCCAGGCTCCTGTCCAAAGCACTCGGCTTTACTAGTTCTGTGGCCTGGGAAGTCCACTGCTCTGTCTTATGCTCTGGCTTCGGCTTCTCGAGCATTCCTCTGGTATCAAAGTTGTCCCCGGGATCAAGGAGGTTCAATGCCTAGGGATCTCAGGGCCCAAACAAACAAACAAAGAAGCTACTCGCATTCTGACTCTTTTCTCTTGCTGATAGTAAAATTTCCACCTTGCTGATTCTGGAATGACTGATTTTATACCTACAGGGTTTTCTACTCCCTTAAAGAGTTAGAGTCTCGGAAACCCACAGGGGCAGTTCTACCTTGTCCTCCAGGTCACTCTTGAGTCAGCATTGACACGGTGGCAGTGAGTGGCAGTGTGGATGGCACCTACAGTGAGGCCTGTTAACAATCCCTGACAGCTGAACTCTAGTGTAATTCAGTCAGTCTCTTGCTCCACCTTCTTACCTAGATCCATCAGGAAAATGAAGGCCATTCGGTGGGAGTAGCAATGACCATGGCTAAAAGAGTCATATTAAATAATTCACTGCATTGCAGCCAACTTTCATCCAAATCATAGATTAGATTATAAAATAAACAATGCCACCTGTGACTACTGTGCTTCCTGAACTAATCAATCATGAGACCAAACGGTCAGCATTTCTCTTCAAACAAAGATGAGACTCCAAAGAGGGCCAGGGAAATGAGGATAATGGAAACAGAACAAAAAGAACAGAACCAGCAAGAATATTGTTACATTATGAAAAATGAAACCCATGTCATAGAAGAGGCTGTGTAGGAAATTGCTAAGTGGGAATCTTATTATCCGTGTAAATTTTCACCAGAAACATAATAAAATATTTGAATACATTTTAAAAACTGTGCACATAAAATATATCCTAAAATAGATATGGCAAGAGTCTTTTACAAATAGATACTTTATATTTATTTGTAATCCAGCTACTGATGTTAGACATGTTGTATGAACACACGGTGTGCCTCCTCATCAACATTTCAAGAAATTATGACTGCGCCCTTGTGTGCTTCTCTGATCACAAATACAACCAGCCACACATTCCTCTACAACACAGCTGAATGCAGTCACGTAGATTTAAAGGTTTCTATTGTATAGTTGTATAAATTCATACTCCACAAGTGTGCATAAATAGCAACAATAAAACAGAATTCAATCTGTAATTGCTAGGCAGGCCAAGATTTTTTTTTTTTAATTTGTGACGGCAAATGTGTTGTTAGCCTTGTGTGAAACTGCCTCACACATAGGGGTTGCCATTAGTTGAAACCAAGTCTGCAAATGATTTCATCACTCAGTGTAGGGGTGACTAAAGAAAGAAAAAAAACAAACCTATGGCCTTAGCTGCTTTTAAATTATAATGGAAAGAGAGGATATAACTTTTGGCATCCAGATGTGTATTCTCTGTTCTTGAATTATAGACAAGTCCATGTCTTATAAATCCAGGTCATTTGGTTACTCTGTGGAGTAATCAAATTTTGTCTGGTTGATTTATGTCATTTGGAAAACTAATATTGACAATATATGTCTCTTTGCGGCCCTTATTCCCTAGAGGCCAGTCAACACGTTTTAGACCAGTCTGACATGTTCCTAAAATTCAAGGGTACAGTACTAAGGTGACCAGACGTCCTGCTTTTGGCGGGACAGTCCCAATTTTAAACAATTTTTCCCGTGTCTTGCGGCATTTTAAAAAAGTCCCGATTTTTGGAAAGAATGCACGACAAGCTAGGGTATACAGTTTTTGGCTGCCATGTGGCTATTTTGCCAGGATATGAGTTTTATCAATGGTGTCCCGCTTTACCAATGTTAAAATCTGGTCACCTTAATAAGACTCTACTATGCACTGAAACTTTTGATAGTTTAGTTGAAGATTTGGTGTTTGGAAGCTATATTTGCTTTCTTTTGGAGGGGTGGTGTTTTAATCTTATTTGTCATGCTCTTTAAAACTGGAGCTCCAACATATCTGTTGATGATGTTTACTGACAGTGCACAGAATTGCAACATTAAATGGGGGTGAGACAGGATGGGGAAGTGATGCTCAATCTTGGAAGCACATTAGAATCACCTATGGGAGCCATCCAAGGTTGCAGATGCCTGGGTTCTGTTTTCGATTACCGTATATACCTGAGTATAAGCTGACCCGAATATCAGCTGAGGCACCCAATTTTACCACAAAAACTGCTTAAAAAGTGTGCTGGAAAACTTGGCTTATACATGAATATATACGGTACAAAGGAGACCCCCATCTCAAATATCTTCTAAGGGGAACATTTCTTAAGCCTTATAAGAGACAAAGATAACACAAATACACCGACACATCAACCAGGCGCGGGAAGCCTTTAGATCCAGGTTAAAATGGCATCCAAGGGTTCACTTAGTTACCAAACTTCAAAAAGGAGCAAGGAAATTCACAAACATATGATTCAGGGCATCAGTTTCAGGCAGAACTACAGTATCTGGAATGGGACCTTACTTGGGACACAAACATTGTTAGATAGAAGAGCTTTCAAGGGTGGTCCAGGCCCTCCTACAAAGGTAGTCAGTGAAAGATTGATATGCATGACTCATGACTCTGGGGACCCCTGACCCACCCCCAGGATGGTGACCTACAAGGACACACCTAGGCAAGTCTCTAAGAGAGAGGCTCCTCCACCCTGGGCGGGCCTGAGAGAGGTGGAGACAATCCACTCCCAGGCATTATCTGGGGCAAGACTGTACCAAACCACACCTAAACTCACTGCCAGGGAGCTGACTCAGAGCGACTTTTAGTTAGAAATCAGAAAGCACTCAATGTCAGAACTCTGCAAATGGGTCTGGGGCTGTCTGCCACTGCCAGCCATACCCTTTTGCAAGCCCCGGTGCTCAGCACGTAAGCGCTGGTACAGTACTCCTTCTGACTTAGTGCACCAGAACCTCTGGTTTGAGAACTTTCCAGAGAAATCTTATGTGGAGTGAGGTCATGAACCTAAGTGGGCAAGAAGAAACTCCAGAAACAAAGCCTCTTTTCACACACTTCTCCCTGGGAGTATGAGGTCTTTGGCCTGATTGTCACTCCACCACATGCATCGTCAAGATTTGACATTAGTCTCATACTGAAAATCAGTTGGGAGAGTCAATTCAACTTCTCTCTTTAGATAGGCCAACATTATGTGAATTACAATGACCATTAAAAACAAACAAACAAACAAACATATGAAATGAACAGTTACCTTGAGAATGGTTTACGGTTCAGTTTTTAAATGTATATGGTGAACCATTAACAAGTATGATGTAAACCTTTATGTCTTAACAAGGAATTTCCTTTGACCTTTCTAAATACTTAATCATTATTGAAGAGATACGTTTTTTAAGGCCAATGTCCATAGCAGAAGTTATCTCAGTTCCTGGTTGCACAAAATGGAAAAAAATATTAATTTTTTATTTATTAAACTCCAAGTCCATTTCTAAGAGTTCAGTCCAGCCATTTATCCAGTGTCACTGCACATGGGTCCAGTAAGAAAGATGGGGAGTTCAGTCAGTGGAGGAGGTATGGAATGGGAACTGACTATACTACAGAATCGGAAAATAGAATAGCACATTTACCTGGACACCACTGAGACGTAAATCATCATTTTCCCTCTACTACACATGTGTGTTTGAATCGGAGCTTGCGGTATGTAGGGACTCTGGCAATTAATTAGAATTAAAGAAAATTATTCTAATGTTAAACAATAATGGGTTTCCGTGATACTTTAAAATGTGACCTCTGGAGTATGTCCAGAGCTGTGCTGCAATGAAGTACTGTGAACAACTCCTCTGGTGTCTCTATGATGGTCGGGTACATTGGTGACTTGTACGCTAAATGAGCCTTAAACATTCAGGGAAGCAAGAGAATATATATATAAAGATTCCTTTACATTGATGGTTATCTAGAATTGACACTTGCTTCATTCTATTGATTGCAATTGTTCTTACCTAGTGGATTCCAATTTGGAGGGAATTGTTTTGTTGTTGTTATTTTCTTTGGTTTTCCTTTTCCTCCAAATGGTGTGTCCGTACTTGTTATTACTACACGGATGCTCACTACAGAACTCGGGGCTCCTGAGCAGCCAGTCTATCTCTTCTTCATTTGGCTTTACGATAAAAGATGTCTTTTCATATGGCTAATTGTTGAAGAAATAATGCCATGTCTTTTTTTTTCACTTTTACATTTTTATAGTATTAAGAAAATCAGCATTCACTAAAGAAAGGTCCAACCTATTTATTTACCTCTCTTCTTTCCACTCTGCCCCCCCCCCACCCCTGTTTCGCAGGAGCGTGTGCCCGACAGTCCCTCCCCAGCCCCGTCTCTGGAGGAGGGCCGGAGGCCTGGCAGCCACCCATCATCGCACCGCAGCAGCAGCGTGTCCAGCTCCCCTGCACGGACCGAGAGCTCTTCTGACAGAATCCGTAGGTCTCATACTTTTACTTGTCACCGTTTTAAACTTTATTAGGTGCAGCTGGCTTTTCTAATCAAAATGCCCTCATTCCAAATAGATCTCAGATGTATCATGATCTGGAGCTCTCTAGCAATCGCCATCTCTCAAAATTATGTCCCCAGTTTGCAATATCATGAGGTATGATACTGCATTAACAGGTTCTGATATAACCGCCCTCTCTCTTTGATGCCACACATAAAGACTTGAGCTATGAAATAGTCACTGAAAGTAAGTAACCTTCTAGATGAGTTTCTGAAGTAAACAATGAGAACTCTTAACTGTCTAGTACAGGGGTCGTCAAACTTTTTAAACAGGGGCCAGTTCACTGTCCCTCAGACCCATTGGAGGGCCGGCCTATAGTTTTTAAAAAAAAACTATGAACAAATTCCTATGCACACTGCACATATCTTATTTTGAAGTAAAAAATGAAAATGGGGCAAAAACACCCAGCGGGCCAGATAAATGTCCTCGGCGGGCCACGTGTGGCCCGCTGGCCGTACTTTGAGGCAGCCTGATCTAGTCTCTAGATGTATTGCTATGGAATATCCCCGATCATTCCTACCGCACCACCATCATTTCTGAAACACTGATTTTTAAAATTCCTTGTTGTATGACTAAGATATTCCCCAAAAGGAAGGAGGAAAGATGACCTTCAAAGCCATGCTTTCATCTCTATAGATCTTAGACATTTGGATGGACCAATGAAGAATTTAAAACACTGGCTACGTTTTAGGTTCGGAATAAATAAAAGTCAGTGATTTTTGATCCTTATCAGATACAATTATTTTTTGCTTCATGTTCACAATGTCTTCTGAGAAATAAAACTTATGTGATTTGGGAAGCTGTGGGAATACCATGTTAGATATCATGAATATATTTGTATATGTCAAATACACATATATCAAAGTAGTACCCCTCTCCCAACCCTGCGCCCCTCATAAGCTGCCCTGGCTTTCCATTCGCCCCTGCAAACTTGAGCGTTTGCAAATTTGGGCCTGCAATTTGAGACAAATTGAGAAGTCCCAGGGTGCTCTGCCGCAGTGGGAAATCTCTGGAGGCAGAGCAGGGCAGACAGACCATAGAGTCTTCCTGCAGGCAGGAACCTGTGGGACAGCTGCGCAGTGCATGGAAACAAGGAAGCCATGGCGCGGAAGCACAAGTTGTGCTTTGGGTTCAGGGCTACTGGAATGCCGTCTCACCACAGACGCAGCGCTACCTACAGGTGTAGCAGCGGGCCACACTAGATGCACCTCTGCCTCCTGGAGCTTTTCTAAGCCAGCCCCTCCCAGCCCCACCTGTGATTAGATGTTGCCCAATCGAACTTTATGTGGTCGATGCCAATCTTCCTATTTTTTAGGAAGGTGTTTTATTTCATGGTCACTTTATCAGACTATTTAATACTAGTACTCATGGCCAAAATTTGATATACTGTTGAAATCTCATTCACACAATTATATTTTGTGTCTGTTACAAGACTCTTAGACTGTTTCCCCAATAAAATGAATACATATTTAAAGTCAATATCTTGACTGATGAGAAAATACATTTATTTTACTCTTTCCAGACTTACTTATTATTATATGGAACTATACTTACAGTGTAAACATCATCTTTTACATCAAGTTTTACATAGAACTTAATGTAAAAACAAATGTAAATTTGAGTTACAAACAAATGTTTGGGCAACACTAACCTAAAACTGTTGGGGGGAAGAAGTTAAACATTAGACTGAATCTTATGAAATTGAAAATTCAAAAATAATGAGAATGGTCAATTATGGAAACTCTACTTTAACATAATATTGAATTTTCATAATATTGATATAAATAAATGTTTTAATAGAATACCTATATAAAACACATTTTCCTAAAATTATGGGGAATTATATAATCTGCTTATTTGTTAAACTAGAGATGTCATTTGAAAGCCATTACCAAACAAATAAGTCCTGAGGCTGGAAAAGAAAATCTTTTCCAAGTGCTTTTATGCTATGCTGACACTAGGATCCGAATTTTAATGTGCATATTGGCTCCATTTCTAATGCTTTATGTAAAATTTTGTCATTGGAAAAGGCAATATGTGTCTAGAGCAATAATTCCATGTTTTTTTCATAGTATTTAGGTAGAAGTTTAAATGGACAGGTGAAAGAAGATTTGAAAATTGTTTATACTCTCAAGGATTTAAATTAAAAAAATTGATCTTTATTGTTATAAAAGCAGAGAAGAAAATGTTGCCTGCTTAGACTACCATATTAGTTCCGATGAAACACACATTTATATATTCATATATCCATTACCATTGAGTTGATTCTGATTCATAGCAACCGTATAGAAAAGAGTAGAACTATCGTATCCTAACTATACATCTAAGACTATCTGGACGTAGACTACCACATCTTTCTTCCATGGGTCAGCTGCTGCGTTCTCACTGTGGCCTTTCCCCCGAGGTTCACGTCAGACATGCATTTAACCACTCTGGCCAGTGAAGCTCCTTAGACTGACAAACATACACATTTATTGGTATGTTTATTTTAAACACATTATTTTAAATTGATTTTGGACTACCAGAGAGGTTTCTAAAATAATATTACAAAATGATTGCATACTCATCGTCTGGATACCCGCCTTCGAAGAAATCTCTCTGAGAGCGAGATCTTTGTAAGGGGGCAGAATTCCCCTTAGCCACTGGCCTTCAAGTGTCCTCTGACCCATAGGGATCCCTTCTGTATCAAAGTAGAGCCTGCCCCATAGAGTTTCCACCAGATGATTTCTGAAAGTTGGTCTTTATGCCTCTCTTCCAGGTGTTTCTGAGCAGACCCAAACCTCTAACCTTTCAGGTAGCAGCCACGCACCTTAATTGATCCAACTCGGGAATTATAATACCTTCACTTAGTGACCCCAGAAAAGACATTGCGCCTTCTTCCCGCAATACTTCTTTATTTTTTTTTACATACAAGCAAATGCTTTTCTGACTCCACCACAATCAAAATCAGGAAATTCGCATCAGTAGAATATTTTATCTGTATGTAAAGACCATGTTCAAATGTCTCCCATGCTCCATTATTGATTTTTGCTGCAACGGAGTTTTCCCCTCTGGTCCCGCAGCCAATCCAGGATAACCAACATCGCCAGAACTTGTCACCTCCCCTTAAGCTGCTTTAATCATGCACAGTTCATCAGACATTTTGGTCTGTAAGGATCCCAAGTTTTGTGGAGAGTACAGGCCATTGATTTTATAGAATCGCTCTCAGTTTCAATTCCATGCTGTTTCCTTTTGATTCCACTTAGATTATTCATGTGGAGCAAAAGTCCCATAGCTAGGATAGTGTGTCGTCAGTGCCTCATTTCAGGAGGTTTATGATAGTTTTTCAGTAGTACTGCTGGAGATTTTACCACTTTCTAAACATGGTCTATACCAGCTTTACCTCTTGTGAAGTCAGTTTAATGATGAACCCTTGTTGTTACTGTCTTGTGGAGACATTTCTTAAGACTATTCTGTTTTTCCTCAAGCATTCACTCACTAACACTAGAATCTTCCATCAATGATTCTTCCATGAAACAACGATTACTATGGTAGTTCACGCCAGACAGGGATTCCTAGTATGTGATGATAAATTGAGGTCGCTATTTTCCGGAGAAGGAGAAAGGCTGGGTTCTCGACTCCATCAACAGTCACAGTCTCAGAAGCCCACAGGGGGTTGCTGTGAGTCAGGATGGACTCTGGGGCAGTGAGTTTAGTTTGGGTATTTACCAGAGACAGTAGTGGTTAATGCGATTATTTTTCTTTAAAATATTTTTTTCACCAAAATCATGATATTCAGAGGCATCCATTCGGTTTCTGAGTAAATGTATCCCTTGTGTTGAGAAATAACGTGTTCGATCATCTACGGTATCATTTCAAAGCTGACAGATAGTTCAGAGTTCATGCAAGCGTTTAAACATTTTCTTCAGCCATTTAAGAGATACTGTTTTTGGTGTTTTTAGATTCAAAGTTGAGTTTAAATCCTACTCTTAAAGCTATGCTTTAATATGTAAGAAACTTTTTGTATTTTATTCACTTGAATAAAACTTGATTGAAACAGTGAGTTTATTGCTTTAATTTGCATCATGTCCTATAACTTTGAAAACTCTATTTGCCTTCAATGGCCATGCGCATATTATTTATTACATTTTAATGCCATAGTGTTAAAGAGCACTATAATATTCAAATTATATTCTTGCAGAAATAAGGAAAGCTATAGACTAAAAGAAGTGTTTGGCTCCTAAATTTAAGTCTGAATTCTTCACTGATCATGATTGTTGGAGTATGGAAATCCAGAAGTATTTCAGATGTTAAATAGAAACAACAAAAAAACCAAAGTAAAAACACAACAGAAAAGTGGGTGAAGGGAGACATCGGACAGTGTAAGACATGAAAAACAAAAAGATTTATAAATGATCAAGGGTTCATGAGGGAGGGAGGGTGGGGAGAGAGGGGGAAAAATGAGGAGCCGATATCAACGGCTCAAGTAGAAAGCAAATGTTTTGAGAATGATGATGGCAACAAAGGTCCAAATGTGCTTGACACAATGGTTGTATGTATTGACTGTGATCAGAGTTGTAATCAATAAAATGATTTAAAAACAAAAAAATACATATTTTATGAGCAATATAAGATAAATTCAATTTTTTTCCTGCTTATCCTCAAAAAGAACCATGGCTATTTATTTGCAGAATATATTTTTGAGATGGCTGTAAAGTTAGACCATCATATTTTATTTGCTTTTGAGTTTAGTGAATTTCTTTGAGCACTGTGTGTTATGGTGCTTTTGTACTTATTCTCTTTTTTCGGGCTTCATAGCTGTTCATCAGAATGGGCTGTCCATGAACCAGATGCTGATGGGCTTATCACCTAGTGTACTTCCTGGCCCTAAAGAGGGAGACCTGGCTGGTCATGAGATGGGACATGAGTCAAAAAGGTTGCATATTGAAAAAGGTAATGTATGATTCTATGGTCTCATTTTTCCTATTCACAGTAGGTACTAGATGTGACTAAACATTTATATTTATATTTCCTTTAATAAGATAGCACTCACACATTTTAAAATCTGACAGTGTTACTTAAACAATTTAAGTGTCACAGAAATGAGGCATGCAGGAATATCTGCTTTTCTTTGATGCAACAGGTAGGTAAACATTTACTTTCTGATACCTTAATAAAAGAAGATAACTGCTGGCCTACTTGTTATCGCTGAGACCCTGAAGGCCTGCTGCTTGTCTTGCTCAGTGCTCTCAGGTCTTTTCTTTTTTGCTACTTAGTGGGCTAGACCAGCAATCCTTTGGGGAAAATGATTGTCATTCATTTTTAGATTAAGACGCATGGGCAGGACTGATAATGAAATAGAAGAGAATCCTCCTTGGCAGTGTACTCCTAGATATTTCAAATGTATTCTTTAAGAGAGAACAATACTTTTCCAAGACTATGAAATCTTCTTACATCAATCTCTTAAGTCTCAGGTTAACCCATTTCCACAGGAAAAGTTATATAGAAGTATATAGTTATACAGATACTTCATGTCTGCCCAAGCAGTCTCCAATCAGTATACATGCATGGTTGCATAAGGTGTTTCGTGATAGAGAACAGCTCTCCTTTACAGTGGCTGCACATGATGAGGACGTGGCTGCACATGATGAGGACGTTGCTGCACACAGGGCAGCAGCAGTCAGGACCACCATTGCCACACTTGCTCCCAGCACCCAAACACCTGGTCAACCTGGCTCCCTCTCTGTGCCACTTATGAGCACCTTGCCCTGTGTGGCCGTGTACATGAAGTCCTGATCCAATTGTCTGTGCGTCCCTCTCCCACCCAGCAAGATTCCTTGCATGGCGAGCCTCCTATATCCAGGCTTTGTCCAGTGGGCTCCCATAAAGTTTTAATATACTAAACTTTGTAGGAATTTAACTACAAATTGTGTGGGAACTGCCTGTAAATGTGTTATTCACAAAGTGTCCCCAAAGAATTACATTCTATTTCATAGAACATATTACGGACATTAAGCAACACACTCCTGAATATATAATGCTCTAACTCATGGGAAAAAAAAGAACTTTTTCTTTTAGGCCTAGTATAAATGTATGCAGCTATGTGGAAAGACGTATTGTTAAATTTAAGTTTTAAATGGTGCAAATAGAAGCTCTTTCACCTCTTTCAACTTTGGTTTGTTATTACAGAATTATTGAATTAGTAGCTTATTTTTATTTGCAGGACATCAGGCGCTCTTCTATAATAAAAATGTATTTTAAATCCAAATACCTAAAGTATTTAAAAAACTTTAAATATTGTAACAGTGAAGGTCCTTCAGAAATAAATATATACTTTTGTGATGTTCTTTTTTTAACCCATGTTAGAATCAAGGTCACCTTCACATGTTGCCCAGTCAATTTTCTTTGGATAAGCCATCCAGCAGCTTAAATTTTTCAAATTTTATAAATGTAGAATGAGTACCATGCCCATCTATTTAGACATGATTATCAAATGATGAGTGATATGACTAATAATTATTCCTTTGGAAAATATACTTACTCCAAAGACACAATTACTCAACTGTCAGAAAATAAAATAAATAAATACATACCATAATAGCATCAAGACCCACATAGCCCAAATTGGATATTTAAATAATTAATCACACAGAGAAATAATTGGGAAGATAATAACTTTTTAAGTGCTAACCATTTTTTTTACTACCAAGATGTTTCACACACAAAAAATAAAAATACTTTACCAAAATATTTTTCTATGGAATATGGTAATATCCCCACTGGTTCCCTTAGGGCGAGCCAATAAGAAAATAATAAGTAGTCCTTTTCAGGTGTCTTCTCTGGTAAAATCGAGGCATACTTGAGAAGTGGTAGCCTTGCAGGGAAAAAGCCAAAAACCTTGAAATGTGGTATCAACTGTTACCATTACATATAGAAGCCCTCAGCCGCGCTGCTGCAGAAAGGCAAGGCTTCCTGCTTCCACACTATTTTACAGGTTTTCTTGTTGTTTTGTTTTTAATCATTTTATCGGGGGCTCTTATAGAAATCCATACAACAATTGTATCATTCACATTTGTGCATGTGTTGCCATTATCATTTCCAAAGCATTGTCGTTCTACTTGAGCCCTTGATATCAGCTCCTCTTTTTCCCACTCCCTGCTACCCTCCCTCCCTTGTGAACCCTTGATAAAATATAAATTATTATTTCTTTTCACATCTGACACCGACCACTGTCTCCCTTCACCCGCGTTACAGTTCTATTCTGCCCTATCCTGTCCTGCAGGATCTAATGGAGTCATAATCAACTTGATGGCAGTGCGTTTGGCTTTGAGTTGTTTACAAGTTTTTTTATAAGCCATGCACAGCATCCCAAGCCACAATATTGAATTCAGTTTTTTCCACAAGATTTTCTTCAATGAAACACAATAGATGTTGTATGTCTTATGGATTCTATACATTTGGACGTATTCCTGCACAGCAGTATTTCAAAAATTACTTCAGTGAGAAAATACGAATCTATATAAAAGATGCATGTTTTAGGTAAGAATATTGGGATATGATGTTATAAATCTAACAGTTTTTCTTTACGAGGATTCTGCAGGAGAATAAAGCCTTTCTCGAAAATATCTCACTGACACGTTCCTCAACTCTCCTCAGAAGAATCCAAGTTGTAGTTGTTGTTTCAGAGCACCATCACGTCGTCCTGACGCAGCGTGGCCCAGTGTGTAGCAGAAGCAAACCCTGCTGGCCCCAGAACCATCTTCACCGTCATTGCTTCTTGAGCCTCGTGTTACAGCCACGGTGTCAGCCTATCTCCTTGAAAGTATTCTTTGTATTTTCTCTGACCCTCTGCTTTACAAAGAGCGGTGCCTTTTTCCGGGACTGCCCTCCTTCTGATAGAATGTCCAGACTACAAGGAGAGCATCCTCCCCAGGCTCACTTACAAGGAACTTTCTGGTTACACTTCTTCCAAGACAGGTTTGTTTATCCATCTGGCAGTCCATGGCGTATTCAAAGACGTCAATTCTCCTTTGGTGTCTCTTATTCATTGTCCAGCTTTCCCATTCAGTAAATGATTGAAAATAACCCAAAAGTGACCCAAACTCAGTCAGTAAGTTTGCTTCTGTTTCCTCGAAGTGCCGTCCTAGCTATGGAGCTACTTTCCTGGGTGTTGATTGTAAAATGGAACCCACAAAAACTTTCATCTTTTATCTGTTTATCAAGTTGTTCAGTGGTATAGTTGAAAGGATTTGTGTTTTATTGATGTTGCTGTGTGATCCACACTGAAGGCTGTGGTCTTTGATCTTCATCAGTGTTTCATGTTTCTATGTTAGCCAGCAAGGCTGGAACATCTGGATATGACAGCTGTTAAAGAGCCTTCTACCAATTGTGATATCACGTGCTTCATAAATTCTAGTTCCTGATATCATTTACACAGCACACAGTTGAATAACTATGACCAAAGAATATGACCTTGACCCATATCTTTTCTGATTTAAATTCATACAGTCTCCCTTGTTTTATATTCTAACAACTGCATCTTGGTCTATGTACAGGTTCCCTTTGAGCAGAACGAAGAGTTCGGGAACTCCCATTCTTCTCTATGTTATCCATAATTTGTTATGATCCACACAATCAAATTATTTTGCACAGTCCACAAAACACAAACATATCTTTCTGATATTCTCTGCTTTCTACCGAGATCAATCTCATATAAGCAATATTTCTCATCCTTTGTCTTCTTCCGAAGCTTTTATTTCAGGCAGTTCCCTATAAGGTACTACTGCAAATGTTTCTTAAAATTCCATTAGCAAAACGTTAATTGTGTGTGATATTAAGATACTGTTCCATAATCTCTTGGGTCATCTTTCTTTGGAATAGGCACACATCTGGTCTCTTTCAGTTAATTGGCCCATGTCGCTGATTTTCAAATTTATCACCATAGATGTGTGAGCATTCCCAGAGTTGCCTCTGCTTGTTAGATACATCTCAATGGGTGGATGGGATTGTTGAAACCTAATTTTTCTCCACTGTCTTTAGTATATATTGGAAGTCTTCTTTCAATACCATCCCTTCCTAATCATAGGTTATCTCTTGAAAAGATTGAACGTTGCTTCTTTTTCTACAGTGATTCTATATATTTCTTTCATCTTCTCTGATGTTTTCTCAGGGGATTCAATCTCTTGCCTGTAACATCCTTCATTATTTCAACTCAAGGCATGATTTGTTCTTCAGTTCTTATAGCCTGAAAAATGCTAAGTGTATTTTTCTCTTTTTATTTCATAATTTTTCCCACCAGTAAAGTATTTTACAATCAAAAGTGATTTTCTGATCCTCTTCTGACTTCCTTTGTTTTTTCCTGTCTTTCTCTTCTGTTAATGAATTTTTTCTTCATATATAATATCCTTGATCGCTTCCCACAAAGAGTCTGATTTTTAGGTCACTATTGTTCCATGTGTCAAATCTGATCTTGAGATGGTCTCCAAATTCAGATGAGATATAACCAGGTTTTATTTGGCTCTTGTGGACTTGTTTTAATTTCTATCAGCTTCAATCTTGAACCTGCATATTACCAATGGATGATCTATTGTGCACTTTGAACTTGACCTTGTTTCTGACTGATGGTACTGGGCTTCCCATCATCTCTACACAGAGACAGTGTGTATAGTTATCATTATGTTGTACAGTAAATGTGTTAGCAATTAATAAGTTACTTGTCTGGTAAAATCCTATTATGCAATCACTGATGTCTTTTCTATCTTCCATGTCTTCATCATTGGCTTTAGTTTGGACCAATATATTCAAGTATTAATCATATTAATTACTCTTCCTAGTAGATATATTGATAGTTTAGCACTGACATCATTGTACTTCAGAATATAGCTTGAAATGTTCTTTTTATGATGAATGTCACACCCTTCCTCTTCAGTTTCCCAGTACAGTTGACCATGCAA